CTCCCTGGCGTGTGCCCGCACCACAGCGACCAACACGTCAAGCAGCGTCTCCAGGGGGCTGGCCCAGTCCAGCTGCAGGTGGAACGGGTTCTGGCGGGGTGGTGGGGTCACAGTTAGGGCTGGAGACCTGTGACCCACCATACCCTTCTCACCCCCATCAGTAGGTGGTCAGTAAATAGACGTCGCCTTCAAAACTGGATGGCATGCCTGCCTCCTCCAGCCCACCCCTGCTCTAAACCCTCTTTGTCTCCCCACTGCGATCAGCACAAAGCCCAGCCTCCTTGGCCTGACATTCAGGGCCTCCTCTCCTGGCTCCAGCCACCCTGGTAGTGCCCCGCTTTGAGGCTTTTTGCAATGCCCAGCTAGAATCCCTTTTTCTATGCCAGCCAACTCCTATACATCCTTCAAAACCCAGCTCCATCGCCCCTCCTCTATTCAGACTTCCCTGGCAAGCCAGGGTTTTGAGGGGCCCCTCTGTGCCCAGTGGCACCCGGAAAGTTCTGCTGGATTTGCTTCTAGCCTGTGAAGGACGAGGCAGACTGCCGGACCTCTAAGGTGTTGCACAGGTAGGGACAGGGTGCAGAGGGCTGGGGCTGCTGCTTAATCCCTCCCACAAGACGGACAGTTACACCTGCAGGGGCTCAGTTCCTGGGGGCGGCAGCAGAGGGCGCCACAGGCCTGGGTTTGGGTCCTGCATCTTTTCCCACAAGGTGGAGGCAAGGGGCGGGGCACGGGCCTTGACACAGGGACAACGGGGTTAGCGAGACCCCAGGCCTCCTCTAGGGTCCGCGTCTCCCCTCCCTGAGGAGAAGGAAGCCCTGGAGGGGGCTTCGAGGTGGAGTCGGAGGGCGGGAGGCCCCTACCAGACCCATATCCCTCCAGGGGGCCCCTCCCTGCTGTCCTGGGAAGGGGGTCTTTCCCGGGGACGCCACGGGACACCCAGAGCCCTGTCAGTCACCCTTTTCTCCTCCTTATGCCATTTTCTACTTATTCGGGCCCAAATCCAGGCCCCGGGGGTGGAATCAAGGAGAGAATAAACTCCAAAGATGCGGAGCGTGGGGGGGATGGAAGGGTTTGAGTGACAGCCCGCCCGGAGGAGGCTGGGAAGATCCTCAAGCAGCAGACCCCCGAACTGCACCCCCCGGAGATGAAGCAGGGACGGCCTGGGGCCCTGCTTGGTGGGGACTGGGAGACGCCCTGGGACCGGGGAAGGGGCCCTGCTCCACATGGGGATGGCTCCCCCGGCCGTAAGTAGACGGTGGCCAGATTCCATCACCGAGGCCCAGGAAAGGGGTCTGCACGGGAGGCGCGCCCGGGAGGGGGCCTCGTGTGGGTTTCACAACCCCGGGCCCAGAAGCATCTCACGGGGTCCCGCCGCCGGTCCTGGGTTCCCTCGCTCTGGGGGCGTCCGGGGTCCAGGGGTCCAGGTCCCGCGAGCCGCCCCGGGGACTCCTTTCGGCTGGAGTCCTGGGCAACCCCCGAGCGGGGGCAGGGGTCGGGGGGCTCCTGTATCCGCGATCCAGAAGTCCGGGTCCCGTGCGCCCCCGCGACTCTGGCGTCGGGCCCCCAGCCCCCGCGCCCCGGGGCGTCCCGGGGCCTCCCTCACCCGGATCCCGGGCATCCCCGCGTACCGGGGCCCCGAGGGGCGCGCGCGCCTCCCGCCGCAGCACGCTGAGCACGGGGGTCTCGGTGGCGGCCGCCAGGAAGTGCAGCTGCAGCAGCTCGGGCCGCGCCTCCGGGAAGGCCAGCACGGCCGCCACGCCCGGGGCCTCCAGGGCCTGGCACAGGGCGCGGGCCAGCGAGGCGGGGTCGCGGGCAGGGGGCGCGACGGCCACCAGCTCCAGGCTCAGGTTGTGCGGCAGCCGCGGCGCCAGGGCGGCCCGGGCCAGGGCGGCGCGAACGCGGGCGCGGGCGGCGGGCGCGCGGGGCAGGAGAACGCCCAGGCGCACCGAGCCCCCCAGGCGAGCCAGGACGCCGCACGGCTGCGGGTGGCCCCCGGCGGGGCCCGGCCCCAGCGCCAGCGCCAGCGCCAGGCAGAGCCACAGCGCCCGCACAAACTCCATCCCAAAGTTGCCGGCGGCGCGGCGGGGCGGAGCCGCGGGTGCCAGCGCGCAGGAGGCGGATCTCCGCCCGGCCCAGCAGCTCGCTGTCCCGCCCCGCGGCGCCTCCCTCCCGGCACGCCCCGGCGACCTGCGGCGACCTCGACCCTCCCGGCCCCCCCCCCCGATGTCAGCAACCCACTAGGGAGGAGTGGGACCCACTCCCCAGGGCAGGAAACTGAGGCTCATATGGCCACACCGCGCGGGCGTGGGTTTGGGGTGTGGCACCGGACCACTGCTCTTGCCAGCTCCCTGCCCGGTGAGTTATCTGCCCATTCTACGGATGAGAAAACCGAGGCTTAGCACCAGGAAGAGATTTTGTGTCAAAATCGGTCCCCACATTCATCCCTGTTCCACTCCAGGACCCTCCATGCCCCCTCCAGCCTGAGAACATGGCCCATTGCTGTCAGGGAAACTGAGGCCCAGGAGGCGTCAGTTTGCCTCCTTGGTCACACAGCAGTACCGCCCACCTCCAGGTCTACCTAAACCAACCCATCTGAGTGTGCTCTAACGGGTGCACCCTGGGGAAACAGGTAGATCGTGTCTGATGGGAACCTGTAGGGTAGATCTGCCTTCCCATTGCTCGCAGGTAACTTGGAGTGGAGAACTCCTCCTCACCCTCCAGGACCCGGTACCAAAAGCCCCTGCTCTGAGAAACACTTCCTGCTTGTCCCCCAGAACTTCCTCCCCACCCTCCCCCTGCCTACATTATCACATGCCATCAAATTTTTGTTGGCTCTTCTGCTTTCTCACTTAGTGGCCATCCTCCCCCACTCAACTGTGGGAGGGCAGGAGTGGGTCTGGCTTGTTAATGCTGTCTCCAATGCTTGCACACAGTAGGCACTCTATAATTGCTCGTTGCTTGAGCTCAGACAAGGGCACTGTCCGCTGCTCCAGAAGCTTCGGCAGCTCCTGCCATCTACCATTCCCAAAGCCTTCTCTTGTGTTCTCTCGCCCTGGATGACCGGGCTTCTTCCTGTGGCCCTGGTATGCAGCAGGTCCTCGATGACCACTGGCTGAGGCAAGCCCAGCAGTGCCCTGCACGGACTTCCCTCCTCCTGTCCGCCCCAGAGGGGAGCAGCGGAGAAAACCAAGGCGGTCCCAAGATGCCTCCAGGCCCAGGGCAGCCGCTCTGGCACAGAACGTTCCCGGGCTAATGAGTGAACGTCCACTCGGTGGATTTGTCACACACACAACTGTCTCCTTTTGGAAGCCAGCATTGGAGAGGCAGGGACAGAACTCCATCCGATGAATAAAAATGCCAACTGCCAGACAACAGCAGGGATCACAGTTTGGGGTGAGTCATGGCTGGGTTCTGGCTGCCGAGGCCACAACATCCAGCCACCTGGCCAGGCATCCCAGGACGGGGAGGGTCCCCGATCGCTAGCCCCTCCCCACCTGAGGCCACCGTCCTGCCAGCGGCCCCTTGCACCAGGGAGCCCGGCCACGTGCCCTGGTCCTGGCCGAGTCCTCAGGGAGCACCCGGGTCTCATCCCACCCTGCGGTGACGTCCCTCTGACAGCAGGACTCCTCAGAATTGGGGACCCGTCTGGCTTGGGGACACTCAGGCGGCAGACATCGCTGCGCTGGTTCTGGGAGGCAGCTGAGCACCCGCCTCTTCTGCATCCCGTCCGCTCCACTGTCAGAGGCAGTGAAGAAAGACCTGGGTCATCGCTGTGTGTGGACGGGACTCCTCTGGGGACCTCCTGGGAGTGGGGTCCTGCGGGATGTGTCCTTCTGGGTCTGGCTCCTCTCGCTGAGCCCGGTGTCCCCAGGGCTCTCCACGTCGTGGCAGGTGTCGGGGTCCCTTCCTTTCTGAGGCTGGAGCGTGTTCCCGCGTGGGGACGGACCGCGCCGTGTATCCTTCATCCACGGACACTGGGCTTGCTTCCACCTTTTGGTGATTATAAATCCCGCTGCAGTGCACACGGGGGTGCAAATACCTTTTTGAACCCCGACTTCCATCTTTTTGGGGTGAGTACCCAGAAGTGGAAGTGCTGGGGGATCGGCGATTGTTTGAGGACCCCCAGGCTGCCTGCTACGCCAGCTGCCCATCTCGCGTTCCCCCTGCCCGAGTGGGACCAGGCTACGGTTTCTCCTTCTCCACCTGCAGTCTCAGGTGCAGCGCGGCCAGCACACAGAGGATGCCCACAGACGCCAGGCGTTGCCGGCATCTTCTCTCTGGCCGCGACTGCCCATGATTTAGGGTCAGATTGTGCTTGCACGAGACACGTACGTAACCTCAGCCTGGACGAGAGCGCGCCCTTTGCTGTGAGCCACGCACCGGGCAGGCGGCCGTCCTGGGGACACCAGCCGTGCACAGGCTCCCCAAGGCTCCTTGCAGACGTGGAGAGGGCATGTCCCCTCTTAGCCACAGGGAAACCGAGTCTGGGGCCCAGGTGCGGCGTGTCCAAGGCCGTGTGGTGATGGAGAGGAAACCAGTGGGTGCCTGCCCCCCCGCTGCCGTGTCCCCCCGCCACAGGTCTGCAGCAGGGCATCCGACCTCCTCCCGCCGTGGCCGCAGAGGGAGCATGGGCAACCTTCCAGGCGGGCACTGGAGACAATGTGGGCACGGAGGCCATCTGCATGGTGATGTGCCAGGCCGGCCAGGTGTCCCCTGCTGCCCTCAGATCACAGCAGCCCCCACCCCCAGGAGCCAGGAGCCCCACAGACGCCTCCTCCCCCATCTGCAGGGTGGGAGGGGGCGCCACAGCTGGAGGAAACCCAGGACCCACCAAGTGGGCAGCTGAGGGTCCAGGGTGGTGCTGGGAGGGCCTGACCATGCGAATCCTCGGGGGATGAGGGGCAGTGGGGTACAGCACCTCCCAGACGGAGGTCGAAATCCCCAGCCCGTCTCATGGCCCCTTCCCAGCACCAGGCCCCCAGAACAAGCCACACGGCTCCTTCCAAAACGTTTAATGATGTAAGCCGTGCGGGCAGCTGAGGCCACACGGAGGCCACAGGCACCGGGGGGCTTGGAGGGGGCCCTCGCCAGGGCCCGGGCACGTGAGGTGGGTCTTTGGTCCCTGGGGAGTCTGAGCCAAACCTGAAGCTCTCCCCTTCCTTCCAGACCTTCTGGACACCAAGCGGCAAGGACAGACTGGGGCCAGCCCGCAGATGGGAACAAGGAGACCCCGGTGCTCTGGCGCGCTCTGGGGTGGGGGACGGAGCGCCAAGCCCCCAGCCCTGTGCGGGGTGGCACCGTCCAGGACCTGGCCAAGCCCCTTCCTGCTGTGACCCCTCCCCATCCTGGCCTTAAGGGGCCGCTCCGTGGGGGGTGGGGCTTATGGAGTGATGTCCCCAGCCAGCTGGGCCCCTCACCTGGCACGAATGGGGCAACCCCCCTCATGCCCCACCTCAGCTGTAGTGCGGCTGGACGCCCAGCCAGGGTGCAGAGCCCGAGGAAGGGGCCGTCCCTCCGCCCGAGGGCACAAACCCAGCGTGGACTGCTGGCTCCAGCTGCAGCTAGCACAGCACCTGCTGAATCACACGGATTTTCTGCACCATTAAGCCAGGCTGTTAGGGACAGCTTTCCGGAAGGTTCCAAGGACTGCCTGGGCTGGGCTCCAGGTGCTGGCAGGCTGCAGGTTGTGTCCCCAGGGCAGTAGGGACACCTGGCCTCCCTCGGACCCTTTGTGCAACGGGAAACATCACTGAGCTGCGTGGGCACGCGTCCCTCCTGGAGGACCCTGGCCCGGGACTGGTCACTACCTGAGCTGGCTGCCCCGACCCAGGTTGGGGGGATGCTTGAGAGGTCATCAGAGGGACGGGACCGGAGGGACCACACTGCTATGTCTGAACCACCTCCCACCCCAGAGGCTCCCCCTGCCTCCTCCTACCGAGTGTCGCCCAGCCCTCACAGTTGAGCCAAGGCCCTGGGGCAGCCGACAAACGTCTGAAGTCTGAGAACCATGGCTTCTGGGCACTAAGTCTTAGAAACGGGGCCCAGCGGGTGGGTTCTGCCGAGACAGGTCCTGCCACGAGTCCTGGCGGGCGCGGGAGCTGAGGCGCCCCCCCCGGCACACAGACAGGCCGAGAAAAGGGGCTTTTAGTTCTTTTGTTAAAAACGGAACAGCACCAAAAGGCCACACGAAACATCAGTGGCCTGAAGAACACAAGTCCTCGTGGGGCTGAAAGCTCCCAGCGGGCCGCGGGGCTTGGGCGCTGTGGGTCTCCGTGCAGGGGCGGGGTCCGCCGGGCTGCAGGGTCCGCTGGGCCATGGGCCGGGCTCACTTGGCCGGCCGGGTGATGATGCGCGTGGAAAAGTCGAACAGATCGCGGTTGACCTTGCGCAGGTTCCGCAGCTCATCCTCCAGCTCGGCCACGCGGATCCGCAGCTGGTCCTGGCTGCCCAGGACGCTCTGTGGAGGGGCAGGGGCTCAGAGGCGAGGGCGCCGGGGCGCTGTCCCCACGTCGCAGACAGGGCAGGGCTCGGGGTGTCGCCAGCCCCCCGCCCCCGCCCCCAGGGCAGGGCCACCGCCCACCTTCTCCATTGTGCTGCTCATCACCCCGAGCAACTGCTCTGCCCTCTCCAGGTGGCTGGGCTCCGAGCCCTGCAACACGAGAGGGTCTGCGTCAGCGACCTGGTGACCCCGGGGGCGCCCCCGTGAGGGAGACGCCTGACACCCGCTGACCGGAGGGGGGACTGGGGTGAGGCGCCCCCACCCTTGGGGGAGGTGGGCTGACGTCTCTGTCGAGGCCGCGGGCTCCAACCCCCCACACTCCCGTCCGCTCTCTGCCCCAGGACTCTGCCCCACAAGGCCCGGGGGCAGGGACACTCAGACACCAAGGTCAGGCAGGCTCCAGAGGACAGGCCAGCCGGTCAGCCCATGCCTCCAGCCCTGCGCACAGCCTGCCAGCCCGGCCCAGCAACACGGCAGCAGGGAGGTGGTCTGCCTCCGCCTGGACACCGTCTGGCACGCCGCCCTTGGCCGGCGGACGGGTGCTCAGCAGAGCCAGACGTCAAGCTACCTGCAGGAGGACTGTGGACACACCCCCCCGAGAGGCTCGGCACGGAGACCGCGGAAGACAGAGCACAACCTGAAGACAGGCAGGGGCCCCCGGGCCTGGGGGGCAGATGGGCCATCCCTAGAGGCCCCCCGGGCTGGGGCCAGGGGTATGAGTGCCCTGCTACTCTGCCCACAGCGGCCGGACACACAGTGTCTTCAGGTCCGGCTCTGCTCCCGAACGCGCCCTGGTGAACAGCGCACGTCCGCTCCGAACTTCCCGCCTTCCTCCCAGCGGAGGGCCCCCGTGCGCACGTCAGCTGCCACCCCGGCCCCCGCAGGACGTCAAGAGCCGCCCCGGAGCACGCACCGGGCCAGCAGGGTCTCGCTGAAGCCCAGGGCAGGTGTCCCGTGGCGGGGCAGCGCCTACCTGCTGGTGGAGACCCAGGCGCAGCGTGAAGCCCCCATGGTGCGGCTCATCCCCGTGCTCGGCGCCCAGAAGGTGCTTGTTGAAATGGGGCAGGGGCAGGCCTGGCCTGAAGTCTGAGCTCAGCATGCTGACGGGCGCCAGCATGATGGAGGCGTTGGTCACGGGGCCTGTGCCAGGGGGGACGGGGGGGCATGGTCACGACCCACCTTCCCCACCAGGCCCCCCAGAGGTCCGGGAGCGGCGGCACCCACCCCTCCACGGCGCCAAGCCCTGTGGCGGCACGCGTCTCCAGACAATGCTGCCGTGCACACCCGGGGAGAGCCACGGCTTCCAAGAGGGGAGGAGGAGCCGGCCGCCCCGTGGCCCACTCCCAGGGCGCCTCACCTTTGAGGGTCACCGTCCTGATACACTGCTTGCTCTGGACGTCCCAGAGACGCACAGTCTCGTCGTGGGAGCCAGAGAGCAGCACACTGCCATCAGCAGACACGGACAGGCAGGTCACCTGGTTCCTACGGGCGGACAAGGTGACCCCGAGCCCAGAGTGAGAGAACGGGGCCCCTCCCACGCCCACCCCAGCGTCCACGGTCCCCGGCCGGCACCTGTGCCCTCTGAACACCTTCCCGCTGTCCTGCTCCGGCTGGAAGCTCTTCTCTCTCTGGCCAGGCTGTGGAGGCCAAGGGGGCCCGTCAGCCATGTCAGCCACGTCCGCCCCAGGGCCCACGAACCCCCGGCTCCCCCACCCCTGGCTGCCGCTGCCACTCACCCAGGTGCAGAGGTCCACCTGGAAGATGGCGCCGTCACTGCCGCCACAGAAGAGGTGGTGCTCGGCCAGGTCCATGGTCACGGCCATGATGCCCACGTCAAAGAGCACGGACAGGAGCAGCTCGCCCGATGAGACCTCCCACAGCTGGGGCGGGCGGGTGTGGGACAGACCCGGAGACTCTGGACCCCCAGGGAACCGGGACCACAGCCACCACCCACGGGGCCCTGGGGGCTGAGACTCAGCCTGCCCCTCGTGCCCGTGACCCCTGCGTTAGCGGCCGTCGGTCCCTGCCCCTGGTGAAGCCCCGAGGGCCGGGGTGCCCTCAAATCCCCCGAGGTTTGGCCAGGGAGCTGCCAGGTACAGGCAGCCAAGTGGGAATTTCCAAGCCAATACAGGCCTGGACCATCCACCCTCTGGCCGTCCTTCAGGCCAGAAGCACCAGGGGGATTCAGAGCTGTCTGGAGCTGCCAGGAAAGGAGGCCATTCACGGGCTCAGGCTGGCCAAGAACCCGTCAGCTGCCAGGGCATGACTCACGGATCCACTTGGGGTGTGGGCGCCCTACCTTCACTGTCTGGTCCAGGGAGGAGGTGGCCACCCGGGCCAGGGGCCCCCCAAAGCCACAGTGCAGGTCCGTGATGGGGAGGGTGTGGCGAGACCAGACGTGCCGGGGGGACGGGGTCCTGGAGGGGTCCACCTGCAGCACACTGTGTGGAGGGAACAGACCTCAGCGGGGGGAGTCCATGTCCCCTCGCACCCACGTGGCCACCAGGCCCCCGCCAAGCTCTCAGATGGCTCCCCCTGCCCCTCCCACCCTGGGGCCCTGGCCTGGCTTTCCCCACGTGCTCTGCGGTCAGACCCAGAGCCCGAGGGGGTGCGGCCTCTACCTGCACAGGCTCCACACCAGCACCAGGCAGTCCTTGCCCCCCGACAGGAAGTGGCTACTGTCCCCCGTGAACTGCAGGCACGACACGTCCTGGTAGTGGCGGCTCAGGATGACCAGAAGGCTCCCCGTGGAGACCTGCGGAGGGCGCACCCAGGTCAACGCGGGAGACCCGGCCCGCGCCCGACCCCCACTGCCAGGTCAGCTGGAGGCACTGGGCGACTGCCCGCCCAGGCGGTCTGGAAGGGACACCCAGGCTTGGTGGGCTGCCCCTCCGCCCAGCTGTCCTGCCGGTCCCCATTGTGTCCCCAAGTGGATGACAGCCTTGTTTGAGCTCCCACCCCCTTTGTCCAGTCACCCTGACTTCTGAGTCCTGGGTGTCAGGTGGCCCGAGGACCCCTGCCCAGTACAGGGCGAGGGAGTGATGTCACCACGGCCCCCGGGGAGGGCAGGGGCCGTCTGCGTGGACCACAGTGACCACAGGAGGCTGTTGAAAGTGTGGGCCCCTCTGTTCAGGACCCGCTGGACCTGGGACCCAGGAGCAGGAAGTCACTGTCTTCAGATGCCACCGGCTGGGAATGGGCCAGTGGGTGGGGCTGAGGGAAGGGGGAGGCCCCAGGAGGCAGGGACGGGTGAGCCCATCGCACCACCTGGGCAGTGGGGTGCGCTGGGGGGCCCAGATTCTGTTGTGAGTTCAACTGCGTTGTCCTAGCACACACGTTCACACCCTAACTCCTGGGACCAGCCCTTACTTGCATAGGGGGCCTTTGCAGGTCTAACCAGTTCAGACTGAGGTCACACTGGAGCACGGTGGCCCTAAACTTAGTGAGTGGTGTCCTTACAAGAAGATAACCTAGAGGAACACGCATGCTCTCCCCCTGAGGATTTCCAGCTTCCCTCCTCATTCTCATCCACAAAGAGGGAAGGGGGGAAAGGGGGCAGCGGCTGGTACCTGAGTCAGGCCCTCAGCCTGAGCTGCCGCCTCGGATTGGCTGTGTGGGGCGCCCCCTGTGGTCACGGCTCACACCAGCCAGGGAAGCTCCAAGGAGGAACCAGGGTCAGTCAACAGCCCTCAAGCAAAGACCTAAGATGCCCCTCATCGGCAGAGGGGACACTGCTTTCTGCCCGTGCCCTCCGCACCACGGCAAGGATTTCTACCATGATGGGCAACCTTTGAGGAACCCCCCGCCTCAGTTTCCCTCCCTGCACTGCAGCAACTGCTTCCTAGTTTTATTTTTTTTTTTTAAGATTTTATTTACTTATTTTACAGGGAGAGACACAGCGAGAGAGGAAACACAAGCAGGGGGGTGGGAGAGGGAGAAGCAGGCTCCCCGCTGAGCAGGGAGCCCGATGCGGGACTCGATCCCAGGACCCTGGGACCATGACCTGAGCCACAGGCAGACGCTCAACCCACTTTGAGCCACCCAGGCGCCCATAACACGACCTAATTAACCTGCAGTCCAAATCCCACTACCTTGGTTTGATACGCCCCCTTACCTCCCACAGATATATGCTCTCCGCAATCCCCGCCAGGACATAGAGGCCATTGGGTGATGTGGTCAGACAGGTGACAGGCCCAGGGCACATGATCTTCTGCTGGAGCTGGTCCTAGAGAGACATAAGAAGCCTCTGAGCTTCACGTGGAACTGAGGAGCTAGGGCACAGCAGGGAGAAAATTCCGAGGGAGCCAGAAAGAGGAGCAGGAACAGGGCGGTCTGAACAAATCAAAGCTCAATCAAGAAGGAGTCTGCTCCGGCAGATGGAAGGGGAGGCCTGCAGACTGTGGGATATAAAGCACAATGCTGCTCACTCTGGGGAGGAGGGGTGGTCAAGGCACAGAGGGTCCAGGAAGGAGCTGAGAGCCTAATGGCCACAATCCTGCCTTCTGGCCTGGGACCCTGACCCTCAGTTCCCTCATCTAACGGAGAAACCTCATGACCGTGTGCAGGTCACACCAGGCAAAGTCAGA